TCTATGGAACTTTAATGATTAGTAGGAATGGCAGGCAGATTGTCTAACATCACAGAACCTAAGAGGAGAAAGCCTTGCTAGCTCTCAGCCATAACGAGCTCAGCCAGGCCTGAGGACGTTCCTTGACAGACAACAGGTGACTTTACTGCGGGCTCCCAGGGCTGGGGGGAGCTCCAAGGTACTGGGGTCAACTCAGGGGCCCAGAGACACAGAGGCAGTGTCCCCACTTGAAGAAGAGGCACCCTTTAATTCTGAAGAGCCTCATAAGTGTTTTCCTTTTCCATCTGTAGTTCCAGCTAAATTCATGAGCCTCTCCCCAAAATGTGGTTTAGCATAGTACTCCCAGCTAGGGAAGGACTATACCCGTGAGGATAAGTTCTACTGTTGTGACAAATAGACCCCCTAGCCTAATGGCTCAAATACAACAGAAGTGCATTTCTTGCCTGGGTATTAGTACAGGCCAGTGGACTGGTTAATGAGGCTGCCACCTCCACACAGTCATCCAGGGACCAGACTGACAGAGGCTAGCTTTAACAAGTGGCTTCCAAGGTCTCTTTTTTTTTCATTTATTTTTTTTGAGGAAGATTGGCCCTGAGCTAACATCTGTTGCCAATCTTCCTCCTTTTTTCCTTTTTTGTCCCCAAAACCCCAGCAGATAGTTGTATGTCATAGTTGTACATCCTTCTAGTTGCTCTATGCGGGACGCCGCTTCAGCATGGCTTGATGAGTGATGCATAGGTCCGTGCCCAGGATCCGAACCAATGAACCCTGGGCTGCCGAAGTGGAGCGCGCAAACTTAACTGCTGGGCCACTGGGCCGGCCCCACTAGGTCTCTTTTAGGGGTTGCCTCCATTCCCACCAGGGGGAGGGGTACAAGCACGCAGAAGACCAGGTAGAAGGTAATTTTATAGGCCAGGCCTGGGAGTGGCACACCTCCCTTCTGCCCTCATTCCATGAGCTGGAACGCATGGACACACCTAACTGAGGGTAGCCAGGAATGCAGTCTAGTGGATGCTCAGAAAGAAAGGGGAAAACAGATTTTGGTGAGGGGCTAACTGGTGTCTGCCCTGGTGCCCTAGGTCTTAGCCTCCCTGGGTTTCTTGCTGTGCCTCTGCTTGTCTCTTTTCAGCCCCCTTGCAGGCTCCCACTCTGCCTCTATCCCTTAAACACTGGCGGCCCCAGGCCCTTCACTGCACCTGCTCCCACAGCTTCAGCTGACAGCACTCAGCTTCATCTGCAACCCAGAGCCCGGTGTAGATCCTCTCCCAGCCTGAATGAATCCACCCTGACCACTGCTCCTCTGAAGGGGCAGCCCCAGATATAGCAAGGCATGAGAAGACGATGGGCCCAATCAGATATTTGCTCTCTTGGGCATTTATTGAGGAAATCTGATAATGGGCATGTGATAAGAACACTTACAGATAAAAGGTCATGGAGAGCAGGGCCAGAAAGGACTGGATGGCCAAATGCACACTGCACTTATGAGGAAGGAGAGACTGAGTGCAGAGGCCAGAAGAGAGTGAACAAAGCAGAGAGGGATGCTGAGTCATCACTTATACCTAGTAGCCCCTGGAGCCTCCCCAGGTCAAGGAGCTTTCTTGCACCTGTCCAGGAGGGTGTGAACACTAAATCTACTTTTATTTAGGTAATAGGAGTGAGTCTTTGTTTCCAAAGCAGCACTAGAACAAGATCCAGCTTGGCAGAGCTGGCCAGCTCTCTACAAAGGTCATTCTCCCCTACTATGGGGAAGAGGTCCTGCTGAGAAGCATCTGCCCAGCCAGGGACTACATTTCCCACCACTACCCCTTGCTTCTGGGTGATGCAAAATTCTCACGGAAGGAATGTGAGCAGGGATGATATATGTCACTTCTGGGCTGCAGCAGTGAAGAAGGGTGGCTTCCTTCCCTCTTCCTAGTAAAGTCAAAAAACCTAGGCAGGCTTGTGGGGAGCAGTAATGTTGGCCCGTGTAAGAAAAGCATCAGAGCAGGGTGGCAGGGGCAGCCTGATGGTGTTAGAAGATTGACTACATGCAGGTGAGGGAGCAAACAAGTAAACATATGGAGGAAGATGGAGCCGTGTTTCTGACAGGAGGGAGGTACAAATATGACAAGGGCAGAGCTAGAATGAATCTTGTGGTATTGAATTCAAATTGGAACTATTTGTGTTAACTCATGGCTTACGCTATGTAGAGATAGAAATAAATATAGATGTAAGGTCTGTCTACTGGGAGGGCCTAGCAACACCTCAGCATAAGCACACTTAGTTCCTAGATCTTGGCTTCTAAATACCATTCTCCAGTAAAAAGAACCCTGGAGAAATGGCTGATTCCAGAGAAAGTACCAGGTAAGCCCAGAACATTTTGTTTTGAAGGAAGGACTCAAAGAATGATGGGGAGGTGCCAGAAGAACACAGATGCTGGTTGAAAGGAGCTCTCACCAGCCAATACAGGACAATTTGAGCATCAAAATAAATAATGATAATAACAGATTATAATCCATTGAATAAAATATGAATCCATGAGTCCACACAGATAATTAAACAGAGAGAAGGGAAAGCTCTTACAATACCAACTAATAAATGTACAAGAAATAATGATAATAAAAAATTACCATTTGGCAACCATTAAAGTTATTCAGCCAAGAGACATCAATGGATGATAAACATAGTAGGAGAAAGTGGGGTAAGGAACAGTATATTTATATAGTCTCAAAGTATTTCCGCACAAAATACTGTACCAAGAAAAAAAAGGAACTTTACGGTGGAGAACCTAGCAGGCACCACCTTATTCAAATGATCGATGTTATCATCTGTAATGGGACAAAGAAACATCGTGTGCCTCCCAGTAGGACACTGACAAGAAGACATCACTGATGTGACATCCCAGCCAAAGATGCACATTCTGAATCTAATCCTGAGGAAGCGTGGAGAAACCCAACCTAACGCACATTCTACAAATGACTGCCCTGCTATCTTCAGGAAGGTCAAGGGCATCTAACTCAAGGAAAGACTGAGCAGCTGCTCCAAGTCAAGGGGCAACAGAGCCCTGGCAGGTGGGTACAACTCATGATCCCAAATTAGAACATTTTGTCACAAAGACCTTCACTGGGGCATTCAGCAAAAGTGGAACAGAGTGTCTGGGTGAAGGGTGTATGAAGATTCTTGCAACTTTTCTGTAAGTTTGAAATTGTTTCAAAATAAATTTTTTTTTTTTTTCTTTAAAGCAGGAATATCTTCTCCTGTCTCTTCCCCCATCCACCAGCCAGGTACAGAGGCCCTGGCAGAGGACTCTGAGGTCCCAGACCCAATGACAGAGCCACAAGAGAGAAGAAGCCTGGGTTCCTCACCACTACTGCACAAGAGCCACCCTTCCCTTCCCAGTCAGGAACACTACACCTTGGACTTTATATGAGCAAGAAATAAACTTCTATTGTCTTAAGCCACTGAGATGGGGGAAGGGAGATCTTCTACTGCACTATCCTACCTCATTCACTTATTCAACAGCCTGCTGTACCTCTCTACTTGAAGTCCCACAGACATCCCAAGGGAAACAACTTGTCCCTAAACTCAGCCATTCATTATCCTAGTCAGAAATCCAGGCACCATCTGACCTTTCTTTCTCTGCATTGCCCCACATCCAGGCAGTTCCACCTCCTGTGTCGTCACTTCATCTCCATGCCCACTGGTCCTACTTTAACCGTCTTCTCCCTCACCAGGGCCACTGTAACTGGTTCTCTAGCCTCCAGTCTTGCTCCTTTCCAATTTTCTCCCGCTTAGCACTGCCAGAAGGTGCATGTGGTTTTACACTTCCTTGTCCCAGCTCCTGCTCTCAACCTGGAACACCCTCCCTGATTCCAGCCCATTTGGTAAACACCTACTCTCCTTTTGGGGTTCAGCTCGTGAGTCACCTTGATGAAGCCTTGCCTGATCCTCCCTCCCTGGGCCCCTGGACATAGTCTTCCATCTGAGCAGGCCAGGGCTACCCTGCTCATCGCACTAACGGGCTGACACAAAAGTCTCTCCATGATAGCCTGAGCTCTTTGGTACCCACACATGCCAGAATAAACCCTCCCTCTCCCACTCCAGCAAAGTTAGACCTCAGCCTTCACCCCTTGCCTCCATTAATTTACTATGGGATTTCTCTCAAGATAACACGGCCCTCTGGACCCATTCCTCATCCATAAAGGGGAGAACCACCATCACAGGAGTGTTCTATGGTTGCCCAGAGCTGGCACTCCACAAATAAATGTTAGAAACAAGGTACTCCCAGCAATTCTCTCTGCTTAGAATTAGCGGCCCAGTCATCCCCTAAATGGCATCCAACCTGTCAATGATTTAACAGTCATTTCTTGAGGTCCTGCATGTGTAGGGCCGTAGGCACACAGTGCATGCTCCTCACTGGCAAGGTTGGTCTTGGCTCCCAGGGGCTGCCTTTGAACTTCCCAACTCCCACCCACCCCGGGGCCCAGCATAGGCCTTGGCACATCCAGCACTCTGTAAACACTGGCTGCCAGGCTAAGACCACCACCTTGTGGGATCTGCAAGCCCCACCCAGTGCTGACTGGTGCCATGACCAGCTATGAGGACGTCTGGACCAGAATATCCAGTGAGATCAAAGCCCGACGAGACAGCAGGACAGAAAAGGTGTATTTCTGTGCCTGGCACTTTCCTATTCCCAATTCAACTCCCCAAAAACAGAAGAGAAAAAAGAATCTGATCTAGGGGCCAGCCCCATGGCGTAGTGGTTAAGGGCTCACGCTCTGCTGCTGGTGGCCCGGGTTCGGATCCCGGGTGCGCACCGACACACCACTTGTCAGGCCATGCTGTGGCGGCATCCCATATAATGGGGAGGAAGATCGGAACGGATGTTAGCCCAGGGCCAGTCTTCCTCAGCAAAAAGAGGAGGGTTGGCGTGCATGTTAGCTCAGGGCTGATCTTCCCCACAAAAAAAATAAATAAATTCATTAAAAAAAAAAAAGAATCTGATCTATAGACGAATAGAGGTCCTCCTATAGGTCCTGTTTATTCCCAAACCCCAACCACAGTCTACCTCCCAAGGTTCCTGAGGCCCATTTTATGGGCTGGAAAATTAAGGCACTGTCAGAATGCCCCTGTAGGTCAGCAACACCTGACATACAGAGACCCAGGAGTCCTGACTTTCAGGGATTCCACCTCCCCGTAGGTCTAGCAGAACAGGAAGATGCTCATTTCCTTTCGTCTCTGGCCCTCAGAGCAGAGCCTCTCTGCCAAAGCTTCCTGAGGAAGTCCCAGGGCTCTGTCAGCCCAATTCTGACTTAAGAGCAAAGAGAAGCCAAGGCCTCAGTGAAGCAGCGGCTCTACATGGCCTGTGGCCGTCAGGAGACAGTGAACAGATGCAAAACCAGGGCTGGGCTTGCCTTCCAGCCAGCATCTGTCTGTCAGCACCAGGGCTGATGTGCAATTGTACTGGGCTCCCCAGAGGGGAAATAACACAGCTGAGCCTAGTGCCGGGGGCAGAGAGAGGTGGGGGCTCCAGAAAGCACCCCAAAACCGGCTGCCAAGCTGGAGACCCATGGGGCTGAAGAGAAGTTTGATCCCGACTCCGGAGCTGACCACGGTGGGGTGATGGGGAGGTGGCCCAGCTGGGGTGTGCCGAGTCAGGATCCTGAGGCTGCCAGCCTCAGCACTTCCCATGGCATAAACGGGTTGCTCTTCTCTCCAGAGGAGTGACACAGCCTCAGAGCTTGCTCCTCGGTGCCTCTGCCAGGGGCCGTTGCAGCCGCCACACCACCCTCACCGGCTCAGTCGCACGGTCCAGCTCGAGGAAGCCGCCCAGGTCGCCTGTCTGACTGTACTTCTGCAGGGCTGGTTGGAGCACTGTGATGGGGATGCTGAAGTTCAGGTGGGGGTAGGTGGCCCCTGTGTTATTGTCCCGGGTGTTGCTGGCGACAATGCCTATTGAGGAGTCAGAGAGGAAAAGAGGGCATGAGCCAGGGGACAGACAGACGGATGGGAAAGGAGGCCCATCTCCATCCTGGAGGCCCTACGGCTGCGGGGGGCTTGAAGGCCCCTCCGAGTGACTGACGCTAGGCTTCCCTTCGTGGACACTGGCTACCCACACCCTGGTCGCCTTCCCAGCTTTACTTTCTCCTTAACATTATCAATATCTAACACACTATGTTTCACTTACAGTTGTGTGTTGCTTAATGACGAGGATACGTTCTAAGAAATGCATCGTTAGGCGATTTCGTCATTGTGCGAACATCACAGAACAAACCTAGATGTATAGCCTATTACACACCTAGGCTATATGGTACTAATCTTACGGGAACACAGTTGTATACGCATAACCGAAACGTCGTTATGTGGCATGTGACGGTATTTCATTATCTTTCTCTCCAATTAGTGTCAGCTCCATGAGGGCAGGACTTTGCTGTCTTGTTCATGCAGCCTCCTCAGGACCTAGGAGAGTGCCTGGCACAGAGGAGGCACTCAACAAACACTTGTCTAGGGAACGAATAAATGAATCAGACTCACAGACAAGTCTTGTTTGGCCTGCTTAGTACATCTGTATGTATGTATTTTTTGAGACAATTTTAGGCTTACAGAAGCCTTGCCAAAAGTTCCTGTATATCCTTCATCCAGTTTTCCCTTACGTTAATATTTTATGTCACCATAAAACACTTATCAAAACCAAGAAATTAACCTTCATATAATGGTATTAACTAAAGTACAGGACTCATTTGGATTTCACCAGTGTTTCCATTAACTCTTTTTCTGTCCCAGGATCCCACATGGCATTCAGTTGCCACGTCTCCTAAGTCTCCTCCAATCCGGCTCAGTTCCTTAGTCTTTCCTTATCTCTCATGGCCTTGACACCGTGAAGAATACAGGTCAGTTATTCTGTAGAATGTCCCTCCATTTGGGTCTGCCTGATGTTTCCTCGTGATAAGACTGAGGTTATATATTATTGAGAACACCATGGAGGTGACGCGTCCTTCTCAGGGCATCGTATCAGCAGGGGTGTGAGGTCTGTAGGCATTACTTGTGATGTTAACTTTGATCACTTGGCTAAGGTGCTATCTGCAAGGTGTCTCCACTGTGGATTTACTATTTTCCCCTTTGTAAAGTGCTAAATATTTTAGAGTTATGCAAATATCCTGTTTCTACTTAAACTTTGCCAACCGGTTTTAGCATCCATCAGTAGATCCTCCTGTGGTTTCCTAATAGTGAGCTTCTCTTTCCCTCATTTCTTTTAAAATTACTAATTGGAAATCTGTAAGGAAGAGCTGTCACTTGTCTCCATTTTTAAATTGATTTGGTTACTTATTTATATCAGTGTGGACTCATGGATAGTCTTTCTTTTTGGGGGGGTTATAATCCAATACTATTGTTGTTTGTTTTGTGGCTCAAGTTGTTCCAATGGGAGCTCCTTCTAATTGGCTCTTGGTTCTCTCAACATTTGATATGCCCATCATTTTGTTCTTGTTGTTAGCATTTCCTTCCTTTCCAGCACCACAAGGTGCTCCAGGCTCCTCTTGGATTTTCCCTCTCCCAGTCCTGGAATCAACCAGTTCCTGGTTCCTTTCATTAGACAATAGCACTTAGAAACCAAGATCTGGGCTCTTGGTGTGTTCATTGCAGCTGGGGTGTTACTGCTTCTAGCCCTTCTCAGCAGAGCTAGGATACATATATATACACTATATATATCATATATATATATATATATATGCACACACACCCTAACTCATACATACACACAAATCTATATTTATTTCTGTATCCACTTATCTGTACATATACTTTAAAAAGTCATAGTTGACTTTATTTGTAGACTACGGTTGAAGAAATAAGTAAATCTATTGTAGCCAGCAAGAGCAAGGTCTCTCACTTTGGGAGGAAGCAGTCAGAAATAAGAGAAGGGGAAGCTCACATCAACTCTGTGTGCTGGACTACAACTGGAGGTATTCATATGGACTTGTGGTTGGCGCTTTTTTTTAACAGACAGATTTAAAAAAAAAGAAAAAGAAAAATCTGAATTAGTTACCAAAATGTAAAAATGTTAAGATTTAACAACTACATATTAAAAGAAAAATAGAAAAGGTTCACAGCTTCCGGTGACAAATTAGAGAATCAGCCAGCGTGAGGCCCACATTCCTTCATAATGAGGCAACAGTGTGCTGGCGCTGAGTGGTGTTCACCCCAGTTCACACTTGACCCTCTACTTCCTGTTGTCTTCAATCACTCATTCATTCACTTTACCTGCCCAGCCTCCGTAGACTTTTGAGTTTGTGACCCTTTGATTAATCCAGCTCCTGAGTGTCACAGATCAAATGAGATTAAGTGACTTACCTAAGGTCATGCAGTAGCTTAGTGGCAGAGAAGGGACCAGAACCCAGATCTCTTCCCTCCCAGCTCAGCATCCTTCCCTTTCCCCCCTTAGGAGCAAAACAGCCTGAAAACCTTGGCTACCTCCCTCCTGGGCATAAGGACCACCTCTTTCCAGAGAGAGGTGGCACTCAGGGCTGGACACCAAGCATCACAAGATGAGACTGAGGCTCTGGCAAGGGGAAGCTGGGAGAGGGCCAAGGAGCTGGTTACCCAGGAGGTCCCCTGAGCAGGTGGAGAAGAGGGGTCCCCCACTGGAGCCGCCGTGCACAGCACACGTGGTCTGCAGCATCACCGGTGTGTCATCCACCTGTACCACAGCTGACAGGATGCCTGTGGTCACTGAGGGCCCACAAGCCTGGCCGAAGACGCCGAAGCCCACCACACTGACAGCCTCGCCTGCCAGGGAGGGAAAGAGGGTGAGGCTGGGGAGCCCCTTCGTCCGGCAGGACTCACATTCCCCGACCCATCCCTGCCCTCTCCAATGTTCTAAACTCTCTCTGTCCTTCGAGTTTCTGCTCAGATACTCCTGCCTCCAGAGAGCCTTCCCCAGGTCCCCATGGGAAGAGGCCAGGACCCGCCCTGAGCTCCCAGCACTGCACCTGCCCAGTCACTTCTCCTCAGCATCAGGCTGTTCTCCAGCCTTCACTTCCCTGCTGGACTGCGCAGCCACTTTTTAGGGTTCTTACACCTAGCCAGGTGCTCAATAAATGTTTGTGGAATTAATACCTATCTCCTGCTGGGACTAAGAAGTCTCTTGGTGAAAAAAAAAATGGTGATGACGACTACAAAGTGGCCACCATCTTCCTTTAGCAAGTACTTTGAATGCACGGGGCATGGAGCCAAGTGCTTTACAGGCAACATCTCACCCACACCCCACAATGCCCAGGAGCAGGGAGCATTTTCCCCACTTTACGGATGTGGAAGCTGAGGCAGGGAACGTTATATTACCTGTCCAAGGACACAGGGCCAGTGAGTGGCAGAAGAGATGCCAACTCAGAGAGCTTGTACTCTTTGTCATTATATCACCCTGCATCCACAGAGTGAGACCCCTTGTTACTCCTGTGGCAGCATCACAGAGCCTTCTACTCAAATTATGTCATTGGGGCCTCGAGGGTACAACAACTTTCTGGCCAGTCTGCAGTGTTATAAGGAGCCCCCAAGGCTCAGCATCTCCAGACTACACTGCTGCAGGGCTTCAGGAGAGAGGTGTGCCTTACCCTTCTCCGGACCTTCCACCTGCCCCCCAGCCCCTTGGGCATGCTGGGCACGAGCAGGGAGGCCTCCAAGAGCAGCCCAGGCACTGTAACCAGATGATTTCACGCCAGCCTGATGCCACCCTGACTCATTAATCCAGAGGGCCGGAAGGGAGCTGGTCTGGGGGACTGGCCCCTGATCTGCAGGGTTGGAGTGCCCCACACTGACCTTCCTTCCCGAGCCCCACCCCACACCAGAGGGCCTCTTTGTCCTTTACCTTCATGGAAATGCTCAGCGGGCACAGGCTTCGGGACACCATCTAGGTCTTCCTCCAGGCTCACCACTGCTATATCATACGGAGATGTCTCCTGGGTAGCAAACACCACACGTCCCCAGATCATGGCACTCCTGGGAACAAGGGAAGCAAAATGACAGGCTAGCTTTCTGACCCTTTAGTGCTGGGAGGAAGCAAGGAGATGAGTGACAGTAAGTCATGGACTTGGTGTCAGCCCTGAAACCTACCAGGCAGCAACTCAGGGCATGTCACTTAACCATTCTGTGGTATTCCCAAACATGCTTTACCACCTACCTGTAGAGTACTTCTACGTAAAGCTGCCTGCACCTCAGCATGATTGTAGACCCCTGCCACCTAGTGAGCACTGTGAGCCAGGCCTGGTGTTAATGCTCTGTGGACATCATTCCATTCAGTCCTCACAGCAGCCCTATGAACTGGGTACTGGTATTATCTCCATTTTAGATGGTGCAGTTGAGGCCCAGAGAGGTTGAGTAACTTTCTCAAGGTCACAGAGTAAGTCGTAGGAGCCAGGGCAAACATTTCCAGTATTTTCCTTCACTGCCTCATTTGATACCCACAATCCTGTCAGTTGGTGGGTATGATTTCATCCCTCTGGATCCCTGTTTACATAAAAGCTAGCACTTCTATAGCTCTTACTATGTGCTTCAAGACTTTACATGTCAACTCATGGGGAGGCAGCTTAGACAGATTAAGTGACTTGCCCAAGATCACACAGGGCTTCCTGCTACACACTCTGCAGGGGTAGCTTCCAGCAGAGCTGGTGGTTTCCCTAGAAGCAAGAGTATGTGTGTGGGGGGGGGGCAGGAGTAGGTTAAGGATTTGGGGGCCACACACATAGGGAAATTCTCATCATCAGTCTTCTCTGTAAAGTCACGGCTGTCCTGTGGGCTGCCAGTGTGGACCTCTATGGCAAAGCCGGGCTGGATTAACCTTAGAAATTCAGTAGAGAGATTTGGAAACGCCTGGGCTGCGAGGCTGGGTTGAGCCAGGTACAGGAGAACATCAGGCATTAACACCAAGGTGCTTTGCTCTGGGCTAAATTAAGCACCTGGGACTACAGAGAAAACAGAAAGAACACGTAGGTCACTGTCCCCACTGTCAAAGCAAGTGGAAGTAAAGGAGGCAAGAGTGCTTTTCCCTACAGAGAAGGAACAGATGACTGTCTGAAGTCCCAACCTGGCTGCCAGGATCACCCAAATATTGTTCAAAATATATCTATCTCTCTGCCTGGGCCCTACTCCCACATTCTAATTAGGTGGAATCCCACATCTGTAATTTTGATCCAGAAGGGAAGCTCTGGTTAAGATCTAAGAGATAAATCAAGTATGAGTAACAGGCCCCTCTCATTACCCCAAGAGGGTAGCATCTTGGGCCCCTGGGACCTCACTACGTTTTAGGGGAGAGAGGGCAGGGTTAGGAGGTTTCCATTCAAAGGGTCAGTGGTGTGCGGGTGCAGGGCTATGAGACAGAGAAGCCGCCCAGAAGGAATTCAGAATGGCAGGGAGAGCTCCAAGGTGCCCAGTAGGGGATGCTGGGACGCCCCAGAGTGCTCAAATCCAGAGTTGCTTGATATCTTGCCCATGCCCCATTCATCCCCTGCCAGGCGGCCCAGAGCCCCCTACACTGGGATTCTGGGTGCCAAGGATGAGGGGAGGGTCCCAGGTCTCTACACACACTACACCACCAAAGCACCAGCGTGACGCTAGAAGGCCCCCTTAATCCTCAGAATTATGACCTGAGACCTGAGACCTGGAGAGGAGGTAGAGTGGGGACAACCTTGCGGGCCTTACTTGGGGGTGGTGAAGCGCACCAGAACCCTGGCTGCCTTCCGAGGAGCCACATGCCGGCAGGTCACCACGAGGCGGGGCCCCACGGCCACCCCGGAGCCCCACACAGTGCCGCACTCCACCATCGCAGCCGCAGCTGCCCACGGGGGCCCCGGGTCTCGGAGGGGCATGCCCCACGGGGCGCCCATCTCGGGCGGCAGGAGGGCGGCCAGGGCAGCGGCGCCGGGG